AACCAACTGACCAGCGGATGGCAACACAGCCCGTCGGGTGAACGTCAAGGAACAATGGGTTGAATGGGAGGACAGGACGTATAAAGACCACACCCTGCAATCAGGTCGGGCACCATACAGCTGATGCCACTTAAGTGGAGGTGCAGCAGCAACCTGCCACACTAACACCATAACAAAAATCAGAAAATTGTCACAAAATGCCTAATTTTGAACCTTTTATGACAAGTTTCATCCTTCTGAATTCATGATTAATCTCTGCTGAATTCATGATTACTTCAAGGCAATGGCAGCCATCTTGGACACCATCTTGGTTTTCGAATTTCATGTTATAACCCTAATGAAAATAACAGATAATGGAAATGATATTTTCATATAACCATATGCACGTAACAACAATCGGTGTTACAAATTTCTTACTATGCCAATTCTGTACAAGTGTCTATATGCTGTATCTCAAGAACCGTAATGGATACAGAAATGTACTAGGCACCAAAATGTCTGCAATACCCAACTTTATATTCAAATTCAATATATGTATGGGGCTTAAAATAAAGTCATTTTGAGTTATAAAGGAAAAAACACATTATTGGGCGGACATCTTGGATTTTGGGGCCGCCATCTTGGAATTGCATGGCTAACGTTATTTTTGAAAAGAGTGAGGTTGGAAGAGTAGATGTACCAAATTTCTCTGTCGGTAGATCTGTGTTGTCTTTATCATTGTGTTCTCTTTATCATTGTTATTATTAATGCTGCTGCTTTTGTTATTATTGTTATTGTTATTTATTATTACTATTAGGAATGATGATGATAGTGATGGTATTGAATATATATTTTCATTGCTATCGTTATTATTATAACTGTCACTCAGTCTGCTCATCTTCTTCATCGTCTATTTGTTCTCTTCTTTTGTTTTGTTTTTTTTCCTCTGTGTTGTTGTAAAGCACTTTGGATCAACTCTGTTATGTGTAAAGTGCAATATAAATAAAGTTGAGCTGAGTTGAGTTGAGTTGAGTTGGTCACCAAACTCAGACGTCCTGTACAGGAAGGGGCAGAGCCAACTGTATTTCGTGAGGAAACTCCGTTCCTTCAACATCTGCAACAAACTGCTACAGATGTTCTATCAGTCAGTTGTAGCCAGTGCCCTCCTCTATGCTATGGGGCTGGCTCCATAGTCAGTGCAGAACTGGACTCCCTGACATCTGTGGCAGAACAGAGCACTCTTGCCAGGTCCCTTTCCATCCAGGACAACCCCTATTACCCTCTGCACAGCACCATCTCCAGGCAGAGGAGCTCCTTCAGTGACAGGCGGTTATCAGTGTCGTCTCACACTGACAGAGTGAGGAGGTCAGTTGTCCCTCAGGCCATTCAACTCTCAACTGCTAGTTGCGAGGGAGGAGAGAGGGCGTGGAGTGGATTCAAACTTCTCCAGGGTTTTTAGGTCTTCATCATCCAATACAGGTGGGTAATGGCTGAGTTTGCTGAAGACACTGGAAGCCTCATCACAAACATTCCAGGTTTGCCAAGCAGACTTCTTCCCTTTGCCACGGAATGCTGAAACAACATCGCAACCAGTGAATGCATGGAAGAAGAGCATCCCTTTGCTCTTTTCTGCAAGAGTGCCACACAGGTCATGAACAGGAATCCACTTCAGGTTCTGTCTTTGGCCAAAGGCAACCCACAACTGCTGCAGACTGAGGTTCTGAAGTGCCTGCAGAACACTCACTGCGATGACAACAACATCTGTGTTGTTGGCTTTGACCATGATGACTTTGCTGCCTGCTTCTGTGGCATGCCTGGCATGCACAAAGATCCGGGTGTCAGCTTCTTCATGACTGCATGGTGCCACCCCAGCCAGATTAATAGTACTGTTGCTGATAACATCATCTTCCATGGTCACAATGACCACATTTGGTGAGGCCACACATGTTGTCTGAACAGCCAATGTAAACCTCATATACCAGAATGTTAGGATTCCAAGACTGAAATATGGTAAAAGGAAGCCAGTAAGTAAGTCCATGGGTCCAAATTTGGATTCTGCATAGTGGAAAATGTATGATTTGACACCAAGATCATCAAAATAGGACAAGTCTATGGGATTTTAATGCAAAATGCAGTATTACTGTATTTTCAATGGTGGCCATCTTGAAAAACGGCCGCCATCTTGAATTTTCATTTGGCCAAACGGAAATATCAAAAGAGCAACCTCTAAGGAGTATGTGTGCCAATTTTGGTGCTTTTATCCACAAGTGAACGATTCTCCTGTAATATGCTATTATCCGCCCCCGCTATTGTCATTGTTGTTGTGTTCTACTGAATTTTAAAGTGTGCCAAATAAAATTTAATTAATAAAAATTAAATAATATAATAATAGATAATTAAATGATGATGATGATAATAACCAGACCCTCTCACAGCTTTGATATTTCATTCTGCTGTCAGTATTTCTCCCATGAAAATCAATGTCTCAGTGTAAATAGAAAATCAGTGTATTCAGTCTTTTTCTCTTGTGAAACATATTTGTGTCACACTGTTGAGTAAAACTGGTGCAAGCACTTTTTCTTAACAGAACATTTCTACACAGAGTCAAGCTGACAAAAACATGAGGAAACAAGTTCAGACTGAACTCAGTGAAACCTGAAGGTTGTCAACAATGTTAGTTTAGACTGAAGTGAGACTATACCAGGCCCTTTAAGTTTATGACTGTCAGGAAACCTTAGAGGGACATTTGATGTATATACTGTAGCTCATTAAACTTAGACTCAACCTTTTTATGCTTATTTTAATGATAATGATCTAAAGTTTTTTCTTTTATACTGAATTTAACTCATTTCTTTTACACTGGTTTTATCTCTTTTATTTTATATTGATTTGAACGCCTATAGTTTTACTCTTAGTTTAACTCTTTTATTTCAAACTGATTTAAACTTCTTTCTTTAGACTGAAGTTAACTCCTTTCTTTCAAACTGATTTTAACTCTTGTATTTCAAACAGATTTAACTCTTTTATTCCATACTGTATTTTAACTCGGTTGTTTTATACTGATTTTATGAACTTACAAATTGTAATTCCTTTATTTGATACCAATTTCAACTTCTTTATTTTTTACTGATTTCACCTCTTTGAATTCAAACTGATTTTAACTCATTTATTTATACTAATTTTAACTGCTTTACTGTATACTTTTAAAAATTCCTTTCTTTTATACTGATTCAACTCCTCTCTTTTATACTAAATTTAACTGTTTTCTTTTATGCTGATTTGACTCCTTTACTTTATCTTGATTTTAACTCCCTTCTTCTCCCTTTTTTAATAAAAGCAAAAAGAGAAAAAAGAATTTCTTTAAAACAGGAATTATGGAGAAATATAACTGGTCTCCTTATTTTGTGATTGACTAAATGTTTGTTTTGCTAAACTTTTATCATACTTACAAAACCATAAGACTAAGGGATTATATTGATAACTTGTGATGTAAAAAAGATGTTTGAAATATGGACAGTGGCCCTGAGGACCAAGTGCAGTGACTTTTATTGATTGCTCAAAACATTTGAACCCTGATAAGAAAAACATATAAACCAAAAATTGTGTGCACCTCAAAAAATCTCTATCTCTATTTGAAATAATTTTCAAGTTATTTAAAATTGTAATAAATCTTTGCATCTTTTTCAAAACATTGTTGTGTATTATGTTTTGAATATTATTTTTATTTCATTAAATATCTTCAGGTTATGTGAATTGGGCATTTTATGGTATAGTTTTATTGGGATATTTTTAGGTGTGTTTTTTTTTTCTTTTAGTCAAATGAAATATACTTTTGGGGTCAGGAAACATTTGTGCAGTCAGCTTTTACAGCCACTGACTGTACATACAGTTTTAGATATTTATTTCCCTTTCCCTAACCCTCCCTTCTAATTCCAGTCACATCACAGCTCTAACTAGAAAAGCACTCGGAGAGTGCAGACCTCCGCCAAGCAGCTCATGTCCCCCCTTATATTGTGATTCACACCAAAACTTCTACTGTTACATGTCTCTAATTAACTTTTATTTGTGTTTAAACTGGTATGTTCACTGTTCATAATGTTCCTAAAACAAGAAATGCCCTGACCCGGATTCGAACCCAGGACCTTCTTGCTGTGAGGCAACAGTGCGAACCACTCAACACTGTGCCGCCCATCTACACCACTGTGCCGTCCATTGGTTATCTTTCAGCATTGAAAATTCCAATGACACCCTTATTTTTGTGTGTTCTGGATCACAGTATCCGGAATTTTGTCTGGATCAGGATCAACCTTTGACACCTCATGAAACTCATTGAGATCCTTTTGTGTATTTTTTTTTTACAAAAGACTCTGGCCATTTTTATAGAGTTAAATGCAAAAATTCAAAAATTTGCCCTATCTCACAATGATAAAGAATCCATCAGAAAATTCCTGGATCCAGAAGGCGATCCGGATCACCACCAAAATGTAATGGGATCCTCCTGGGGCTGAGACGCACCTCTGGTGAAAATTTCAGGTCAATCCGTCTGTTACTTTCTCTGTAAAGTTGCAAACAGACAAACAAACAAACAAACCAACAAACAAACCAATGCTACCGAATACATAACCTCCTTGGTGGAGGTAACAAACCATCCAACGCTACCGAAAACATAACCTCCTTGGCGAAGGTAAAAATACTGTACTATAATCATCCATCATTTTTTTCTTCATAGTTGTTATATGTACAGTATATATTAGCAGAATTATACTATAATTTATCTGTCCATGAACATTAAATAAGATGTATGAAAATTATACATTTTCATGAAATCTGACGTAAGCATTTGTGTTTATACACAAAAAGTAAAAACCACAAACTGTGCTGTAAAGGCATGAGCAGATTTTTAAAGGAGAACCAAATAATACTTAAAGGAATAACCAAAGATTTGAAGCTGAAGTTTAAGTATAACTCATAAATCAGAGAAGACCACGCCTGATGCTGAAACCGTTGATGGTGTAATCTTTTCTCTGACGCAGAGCTGCAGTGACACAGGAAAAGAGCTCAGTGTTGAAGAGCAGCACATCGTCAAGCTGAAAATACAATGTCTCTGTGCTGCAGCTGAGCATGGCAGTCTCCTTCTACTCTGGTGAGCCGTACATTAACATGGAAGTTGGGGAGTATCAGGAGTTCTCCAGACCTGAACCTGAACCTGAACCTAGAGACATTGCTAAGGAAGGGAACAAAAAATCAAGTGAGTATTTATATCAGATTTTTAAGATTGATATTTCCCTTGTCCGTAATTGTTAATCCCAAACTTGGTGTTTTACAGAGTTCTGGAAGTCCCACAAAAACAAGTTTTACTGTGGGAACAAACTGTCTCCTGCACAGATGATCATTTCACTATACCCCGACAATGTTTGCTTTCAGTAATGATGATAAACAGTACAGAAATAAAAAAGTACAACAAGTTCAAGCTAACTGATGGATCAACAGTGCAAAGATAGAAAATATGAGGACGTTTACTGTGTGTGTATTTTAGAGTTCAGACATCTGGGAGTGGTTCTGCTGAGCTTCAGCCTGCTCTGTGTCCTCCAGGGAGTCCTTAACATCGCTCTGAGACTGGCTCTCAGTGAGCCCTGTGTGAAAGGTAGATAACCTCAGTCCAACTTCCAAGCACACTTTTTAGCACCTTTGAGATGATGGTTTCAGTTTTACAGCCTCTAAAATTACACTTCATGTTCACTGCTGTCTCATGGCCCTGCTCTGTATTATGTAACATAATGTTTTGTCATGCTATCTCTGATAAGCCCAGACAGAGGGACACAGCTGTCCTCAGGGATGGTTAATGTTCGCCTCCAGCTGTTACTACATCTCCTCACAGCAGAAAAACTGGGACGACAGCCATGAGGACTGTCTGCAGAGAGGCGCCAACCTGGTGGTCATTGACAGCAGACTGGAACAGGTAGCTCCACACACCTGTGCGACACCTCAAATTGAGCATTATGTAAGGTTAAAATGATCAACACCATGCTGCTTGTAGAGCCGAACATTTTAACATGAAGCTCCATGGAGAATGACTCACTTTTTGAGCCAGCCTCCAATGGACACATGAGGAACTGTAGTTTTTTGGACTTGACACTGAATTACATGAATAAATTTAGAAAGATACAAAGACACCTGTGATCCATCACCTTCTGTGTGTTGGTGTATGCTGTTTATTGGAGGGTTGTTTATTACAGGCCTTTCTCATGGGATTCACCCCTGCAGCATGGGTCGGGATGACAGACAGGGATCAGGAGGGGAAGTGGGTCTGGGTGGATGGAACAGAAGTAAACAAAAAAAGGTAAGAAACTCAAAAATGTGTACAAGAAATTGGACCAAGCCAATGATCTGAATTCTCAGATTAATAAGGATTCTGGTCTAAAAATAGAAAAATCTAAGTTTGGATGTACATCTGCTTTTACGTAATTAGTTGAACTTATGTCTATGAACATGAATATCCAAATGTACTCAAAAATACATTGTTACAGTGGTGGTCATTTTCTGGTTAATATTGTTATCAATATTTTTTGTTATTTTTATTGTTACTATCACAAAAGGGCCAACGGGGGCCCCTGTCAGGGTGTGTGTACATGAGACGATAAGATTCTTCATAGATTTCAAATAATTAATACTAGTAGCATTATGATATTATATACAAGGAGCACACCTACAGCAAACATTCCTTTTTGAGTATTTATGTATACAACAAAAATTGGGCCATTTCAAAAACTCCAATAATTGCTCCTTTTTATAAACGTGTCCCATTGACTTCAACATGAAAAATTTCCATAGTTTTTCACATATTATGTCCCAAAAAATTTGTATACAATAGAGAAAAATACTAGCACACCGATCCTGATCAAACAGGACATTTTGATGTATAATTTGTCCTACAACTCTTCAAGTTGTCGGACTAGGCAAAATTGGGTTTGACAGAGAAATTGTGCAAATTAGGCCATGACGTCATCTAGCGACTTTTACGACAGCCACTAGCGACTTTCCCTACTGAGGAGTTGGCAACACTAGAACTTTGAGGTTTCTCTCAAAAATCCTGACAGTAAGCCTAATGCTAATCTCAAGTTGTGAAGAAAGAGGCAGAATCAGACTTGAACACAAAAACTAAATTGTCAGTTTATACTCAGAATACAAAAGAAAAAGTCAGAATTTTTCAGTAATCATACTCGGTGTCAGATTCTTGACAATCTCAATTCTTCGGTTCATGTCAGAGTTATGACTTTAATCTCATTATTCTGACTCTGGCTTTGAAATCAGAATTTCATTTCAGATTTTAAAGTCACATTTTTAACTAAATCCATTTTCCTCATTTTGGCACAGACATTTGACAGCCAAATTATTGTTATTTTTGTCTTCAGGTTGCTGTGGGCCCAAGGTCAGCCTGACGGAGCATTTGGAGGAGAGGACTGTGGGGACCTCCGTACCATGATCTCTTTTCTTGGCTTAAACGACTATAACTGCAGCTCCAGAACCCAGTGGATCTGTGAGAAAAAGATCCAGTAGTTCCAACTGTCTCAATCTGTGCCACACTCAGTTAGCTACCTTTAACTCCATCAAATTGTATAGGTGGACCTGGTGTCTCCGAGGTGATGTCCTTAAATCTGTCTCTTCTACCAGGACCATGAAATGCCCAAATGTCCACACACCTGCATGGACTAGCACCAGGGTGGTTTATTTGATCTCTTTTTAGTATATTTAATCAAATCACTTTCCATCTCAGCCTCATTTTAGGATCCTTTTGGCTCATTTAAAGCTGTCAGTGGTCTGATATTTGCAGACTTTTATGACCTTATCTCCTATTTTTTCTGTTTCTCTGCTCTTGTTTTTGCTTGCAGTTATTTACTGATTGACCATTCTACATAAATAATTGTAATAACACTTCCTTGTCTTTGTAAATATGAGGTCAAGCTTTATGTCTTTAATATTTTATTTGTTGTTTCTGTTTCTAATAAAATCAAAGTGTCAGACTTTCTCTCACACAAAGTCTATAGCAGTTTAAAGTAAACCCTCTGGTATCAGGATCACTTTTAGAGGTGGATTTAAAAAGGCTGCAGGATTGGGGTGCAGTGTAATCTTGTCCTCTGGACCCATTTTTATTCAAGATAATCTGAACATTTTGATTCACTCTCTCAAAGAGAATGTGGTTAGTCACTAAAGTGGCTATTGGAAATATAAAAGTATATAAGATTTTCCCTCTCAAAATTAACCACTGAGTTTTACTGCTATCAAATACTACTTTGAAACTTTCTTACTCTGTGGATTTTAAATCCAACAGTATGAATAACATGTATTCAAACCTCACGTGACAAAGGTGGGTTGTGCGCAGAGATCACATCATAAATTCCAAAAATGGCATTAAAATCGGAACCATCTGTGCGTAATGACGCATTGCGCTCTGTGGCCTGGCTCTTTCTTTTATAGATGTTGGCATATAAAATAAATTCAGCTCACAAAACTGAATATCATAATATTCGTATGTAGGCTTAAAGTAGATAACTCATCTGATCACTACAATAAATCATCTGTTCAGCCCCCGCAGCAGCAGCTGCAGCAGGATGGGGAGAGGACACGGAGACATGTCCAGGTCTAGCTGCACGAGAAATAAGAGGAAGAGGAAGAAAGAAAAGGAGGGAGACGAATTACATATCTTGTTAACTTCATCATGTGTGTCTATTTACTAGATATTTAATTTAATTTAATTTAATGCGGTTTCAGCTGTGTTGATTCGGTCAGGTTGTGTGTCCAAACGCGTGCCAAACGTGCTCATCAGATCAGATATAGATCAGAATATATCAATATAGGTCTAAATGTATGTGCTGACTCAGAATATTGGTTGTTGATGATTATTTATTGCACTAAAATGTGCCTGACACAGTGGAAACCTGCCGGTGAGGCATGTGTGACGTATGCTGATACGCCGCAGGTCTACCAAAATACCACTAGATCAGCTGCGCTCTGCCTGCGCTGAAAGCTGACCAGGTTTGAATCTGCGAGCTTTCAGCCGGTGGCGAGCGCGAAAATGTCAATGCGCCCGCTGATTTTGTCGACACCTCCCTCTGCCACGCCACCATGCCCAGCTTGGCGGATCTCGGTGCGCCTCAGTCCACGAAAATACCAAACCGGCTGTACACCGGGCTCCACTGGACAAAAATACAACTGTGCGGGTTCCGCCACCCTCCGCTGTCTCACTGGCGTATACGAAAATAGAGCCCTTAGTCTGGAGAACAGATAAGTCTATTGAACAGTAATTCATCACTAAGCAGTCTTCACTACACTACTGTCATTGTGTTTTCCATGAAGCTCACAGTGGGACAAGAACATGTCACTTTTAATGTTTAGACTAACAGCTTTACTGCAGCACAGATCTACTGTATTGTAGTGTTACAGTAGAGACTTGCCGTATTTGCAGTATGGTACTGTGCTGCAGTATTTTATAAGTGGGAAGCACTGTTATTGTACACTACACTAATGTAGCGATTTGAATTTCAAAATAAATGTCGAAAATTAATCAAATTAAATTATGACATTTATGCACTCGTTGAAGGGGCACCACCCACCTTTCTGGTGGGAAAAGGACGAAACAAAGTTCAATTGAGTAATTAAACGTTGAATCAGTCTTAAGCAGATTTAAATCAGTCTCTCATCTGAGGCCGGAATTCTTCATTCAGGGACTACTTTCTGGAAAGACTACTAAGAGACGACAATTAAAAATTAAATAGACAATTTATTAACAAGCTATATGATAACAAAACGTCAATAAATGATGATCAAATAATGAGAAAATCAAAGCACATCTAATGAATAAAGGAAGGAATGGTTTAAATTAAACCTAAGACTGGAGGTTAATGATAGTGAGTGAATAAGGGAAAATTTAACCTACGTTAACGGAGTTACGAGGGTAAATTTAAAAGGAATTGAGAGGACTAAACTATAACTTATGAGAGTAAGCTACTGAACGGTTGACGGCATCACCCAGTTCTCATCACAGCAGTTTCGAGGAGTTTGCCTACTTTGGATGTCGGTTCTCAGCGGCACTCTTGGAATGGATCAGCTGAAGTTCTGGGCTACCGGACCGGATACTGAAGGTTCGGCGGGGAGTTCTTCCACCGTGTCTGGATCTCAGCTTCAGGACCGTGTCAGCGCTGTTAGATACTTCAGATCTCTGGGCCTCTCGGAACCAGGTGGTAAAGCAGCTCGGCAGAGGATGCTGGTCGGCGTTCAGGACTAGCTTGGTTGCAGATTAATTTGCGCCAATAACTTAAGAAAATAATTTCGCTGGCCAGCCGATATTATCTTCAGGAGTCACTTTAGCGAACAAAAATAAAATAAAAGACTTAGACGGAGGTTCTCTATGTGCGCAGCTTGTTACTGATGCTTTAAAGAAACTTGGGTATGGTTTCATCCAAGTTTCTGGAAAGGTCTGAGCTTAAGGCAATTAATAAAACGCGGAGAAAATTGCAAACGATGGACGAAGACAAAAGAAAAACTACGAACAAGACTAAAACAAAAGACTAGACTCAAACGAAGACAAAAGACCAAGACTAAAAGACTCCCGGGCTCAACTCTTTTAAGCAGTTCAACGTGGGCGTGAACCAAGAGGAAGGGGGCCCAACCAATGTTGTAAACCAATGCAGCACATCGACTGGCAGCGAATTAACTCAACTTGATATTAAAAGCGAGCTAGATCTAATTTACTCACTCACTAAGATTAAACTGTTTGTAACATCACATACGATCACATTTCACTTCATTGTTTCTTATGAGCAGATGCATTAAAGCATGACATTGAAAACAATAAACTTTTGATCAGCCGTTTTCTTGATAATAACAGAGGATTAACGACTTTTGAAAGTTAGGGAGGGACAGAAAACAAATTATCTATCCGAACAGAAACACCATCCAGCATAAGAAACACATACGTGATAATACTTGACAACAATATAACCTTGTCAATCAAGCTTCATAGATGATTAACATATATATTTGGGTGAGGTAGACAAATACATAGTATGGATACATTCAGAAACTCTTAACTTGAGTCTAAATGAGTTTCCCGTTACTACTTATAAAACTACTAGCCTATCTTGGGAATACCATTTACTAAGCTACGAAGTGTATACAACAAAAGGGAAGAAATGCACATGATTAGATTCCTGCCATTTGGCTCTGATCAAACCATATTCAGGCATCACCACTAGGAGGAGCTCTTGATCCATGGAAAACCTGGAATAAATTTATGAAGTTAACAGTTTGGCTTGTAGATATGCTACAAAACTGGGAAAAAAACCATTTTCATTAATGAGGTGGTGTACAGATAGAAAATTCTGTTGAAGTGTCCATTAAGCATGAAGTTAAACCATTTTCAGGCATCCTCTTCCTCCTGCACCTTAAAGAAAGCCATAGAAAAACACAGTCATTCAAAGGATTTATGGCAGGGATCTGTTTCCAGGACTTGGCGCCAAATGCAGCCTTGTTTCCTTTTGGGTCATCTTGTTTAATCTGAGGTGTCAACTCTGATCTTTCCCAGCCAGGGTGAGAGGCTCCATGTTTATTGCTCTGTGTGGTTGATAAGCAACTTGTCTTTTTGGGAAGCGTTAATGATTCATTATCACCTCCCAAATGGAACTTCCTGGGTCGTAAAACTGGAAATTGGTGTGAACCCCTATTTCCTCTCCAAACCAGGGGGGCCTGCATTCCTTTGAGGGGTGAATTAATGGTGGATAGCAGAAAGCAGTCGTCTTGTTACACTAATATGGGTTAACGCAGTATGTTTACTGTACATTACTATTACATTTTACTCTGCACCACACTGGATTGCAAGACAACCTCGCAGAGATGGAAGAGTCTGAAACAAGAGGTGGTGATTTCAAACAATGCAATGAGGTTGAGAAAGATACAAAGTGCTGTCATAGAGTTACCTCACTAAATACAGTCATGTTACTTTACTGTAGTTTTCAAATGGCTGTGCAAATAGTGCACACTGCTGTCTTGAGCATTTTTAGGTAATGTCTCCTGACTTTTTTGCATTTGAAACCACTTATGGAGTAAACTGTCATAATGAAAACATGATAAAGCCATTTGACTTTCTTGTTCATAGATAATGGTGTCAGGATTTTGATGACACTTTCATTGACATAAATACTTACTTTTGAGGAACGAACTCTCCATTTTGAGCAAGTCACGCACTTTTGCAGGTTATCCACTAGGTTTCACAGTTTGTACTTATTGTTTTGAGACATGCGTTAACTGTTGTGCAAATGTTAATAATGATGTGAGAAATGCACCAAAGCGACTAAGAAAAACAGTAACTTTTTAAAACCAACCAAAGGAGACTGAGAGGTTGAAAAAAAGATGACTATGGATGTCAAAAAAGAAAAAAGGAAAAACATAAGAAATTTGAAAAAAAGGCCCCACAAAGTAAAGGAAAATCTCTCAGCATATTATAAGATTAACTGACATAGTTGAGATAAACGTTATTAAACTTTAAGCTGCAACACTCAAGCGCCCCACTAGATAGTGCTATAGTTAGCTTTATTGGTTAGAAAGCTGAGCTGTCAGGCTGCAGTATAAGGTGTAAACATGTGTAACATGATCTGAAAGCTCTGTATGTAAAGAAGCTTTAAGTATCTATATATACTCATACTGGGTTAGGAGGGCTGAAACTGATCCAGCTGTCATTAGGTAAAGGCCATGGTCCCTCCGTGAGCAGGTCAGCAGTTGATCACAGAGTTGAAATGTAAAGAAAGACTCATTCACCTTCATGTTCACTCCTTTGGGATTCAGACTCACAACTTCATCCAATTTTAAATTTTAAACCAGAGAGAGAGGGGTAACTCTAACCGGTTTCACAAAGAGAGGTAACTCAACCTCGCGGTCAGTTACCATAGTAACAGACTCTGTGAACCTAACCTGGTCGGGACCAGAGGTCCGTTTCACGTAGCAGGTTTAATGGAAACTCAGAGTCTGTTAACCCTGAAATCAGG